AGCCCAGTGGGCTTTAGAGTCAGGGATAGCCTCCAGCTCAGTTTGCTTCTCCCCCAGTACAGGTGTCCTAGTGATTATCCTCGCTAGTGGTAGCCCCGCAGTTCACACCACTTTAGACGGGCTTCACACCGAATCAGTCATCCTCGCTATTTGTGCCTGACACGTTAGTCTCCAGGAGTCTTGGAGCATCTTTCAGCGAGTTCATAGGGATGCCTACACCGCCACATATGCATGCCCTAGGTCCTTCTACAGCAGCCCTAGTCGCCATGATGACTTAGAGGCTCCCTTCGTCTGTCGCATCTTTAGATCCTACGACAGATATACCAGCAGCATCACAGGCAGCACCTACCCCAGCTTAGACCCAGACCGCTTCAGCGACACTTCCTGCTTCAGAGGGTCAGTCAGCACAGAGCTCAGGGTCAGATGATGTTGCTGCCTAGTTTCAGCTTGCTCCTCGTTCTTCAGCGCCCGACTCGTCCGCTACAGCCCCGCCGACCAGCCCTTAGGTTTTGGTGTTTGACGCCAAAGGGGGAGAGGGTTCGAGTATGTAGACTCAGGGGGAGCGACATTTAGGGGGAGCTAGTTAGCTATTAGTCTTTTATATATACATTTTGAGTTTTATTTGTGTGATACACTATTACTATTATGTATTTGTGTGTTTACTTTCATGCATACTATTATATCTATGTGATAGTGATATCTACGTGATTGTGATATATGACATGTGTGCTCTCTACTTTTGATATTCATTGATATGTCATATCACTTGAGCTATGCTCATTTGCTTTTGCTTCCGCATTTATACTCTGATGCAAATGAGCTTTATTATTTGTACTCATGCTTATTTCATATCATTTGAGTACATCATGATGGCTTGGGTTATATAAGCTTGACTAATTCTTTTGTCCTTATTGCTAAAAGCTTATATGATCCAAGCATGTTAAAAACCTCAACTCTTTCACATACTCGAGGTTGTATTGTCATCAATTACCAAAAAGGGAGAGATTGAAAGCATCTAGGCCCCTAATTGGGTTTCGGTGATTAATGACAATGTTAGATTACTGTGACTAATGTGTGTTTTGCAGAGGCAATTAAGTTAGGTCACGGTAATGGAGATCGATTGGGCAATCATGGTCGTCATGCCCCTACGATGGAAATCATTTCAGTTTTCAAAGGATGGGCGACAAGGTTAAGGATGACTAGTTCTAAGTGTCGATTGGAGTTGGAGAGACACTTAGAGTAGTTTAGGACTTTGTTTTTCCTTTGGCCATACTATTAAGAGGGTATGGACGGGTAGCTTGACCTAGATGAGTCTAGTGAGTTAGGTGTGGTGCACACTTGTTGAAACTAGCACTAGGTAGCTCCTAAATATGCCTAAGATCCTTTGGAGCAAACTTCATTCACAAATGATCGAGAGTTGGAAGTGAATGGAGGGTAAAAGACTGACCGGACGCTGGCCGTAGGGTCCGGTCAGTTCATTTGACTGAGGTGAACAAGTCCGGTTTGACCGGACGCTGGAGAGGTCATGTGACCGGACGCTGAGGACCAGCGTCCGGTCGACTCCAGTAAGGTTCTAGTGAGGGATATTTGCGAACGTGTCCGGTCAGTGGTGACCGGACCCTGCCAGCGTCCGGTCCACACTTAAACACTTGTGTGCGGGTTGAACTGACCGGAGCGTCCGGTCAAAATGATCGGAGCGTTCGGTCACCCCGCAGAGGCACATAACGGTTTGTTTTTTAGCCCATGTTATAAACAGAAGCTCCACTCGTGTGTGGAGTCACTTTTGCTCATTCCAACAGCTGAGAAACACACTTGTGAGTCCCAAGAAGAGCAAGGTCCTAGTGAGGTGTTTGTGATTTGAGAATCCAAGAGTGAAACCTCATTAGTGAATCAAGAGTAGCAAAGTGTGCATCCATCTTCTCATTAGGCTTCGCGTGATCAAGTGAGAGTTCGTGCTTGTTACTCTTGGTGATCGCCATCACCTAGACGACTTGGTGGTGATTGGGAGTTCGGTGATCATCCGGAGAGCTTGTGGGTGACTCGACTTAAGATTGTGAGCGGTTGTGGGTGATTCACTGCGACGAGTGTCGAAGAATCAACCCGTAGAGAGCACTTGACCCTTGTGCGGATCAAGGGGGAGCTACACCCTTGCATGGGTGCTCCAACAAGGACTAGTGGGGAGTGGCGACTCTCCGAAACCTCGGCAAAATATCGCCGCGTTTCCTCTCCTCTCTTTACTTTGAGCATTTACTTTAAGCATTACTTTGAGCAATTCAATTCTTGTCATTTACATTCCTAGAATTGCCATGCTAGAGTAGGATTGGAACTTAGGTTGGAAGTCTATTTGTGTGATAGAACATTACAAACACTTTCTAGGCACAAGAGGTTAATTGGGCTATCAATAGGATTTAATTATTGCAAGAAAATTTAGAATTAGCCCAATTCACCCCCCCTCTTGGGCATCTTGATCCTTTCGGTGCAAGGGGTGGCGGTGCACCGCCCTAGGGTGTCCGATGCACACCGGAAAGGGCGGTGCCACCCTCAAGGCTAGGCTGCGCGTTGGCCACAAGTTTGGTTGCGTTTTCCGACCCTCGGACAACCCAAACTCGCTCTTTTCTTCTCCAACTTCACCAAGTTGATCCAAATCAACTCCAACAACTTCTCCTTTATAGATGTGCCAACACCACCAAGTGTATAACACCATCTTGTGCATATGTGTTAGCTTTTCTCAAATGTTTTTCAAAGGATTAGTCACTCAATTCACCACGTCAGTCGATACTAGCAATGATGCAAAGTTAGATCACTCGAGTGGCATTGGATGACCGATATGCAAACAAGTTTGCTCCTCTTAATAGTATGGTCATCTATCATAAACATGGTCATAAACTTCTCTACACACCTATGACCGGTGAAATGAAATGCCCTATAGGTTATACCTTTGCCTTGCGTATTCCATTCCATCTCCTCCAATGTTGATGCAACACATGCAGCAATCTTGATCGACAAATGATATGATTCACTTTATATTATCACATGACCTTGTTGGTTCATCGATCTTGACTTCACTTGCTTTTTACCGTTGCCTTCGTCCATCGGCGCCAAGTCTTGCTCAAGCTTCACCGCCACGCGGTCCATCGCTCTAAAGCCTCCAACTTACCCTTCACGTTTGCAACCGGTCCATCAAGCCAAGTCTTGTTTTGATCTTCTCCACCTTAGTCACATGACTCCATGTCATGTCTCATATGTAATGAGCTCATTCATCACATGTGTGAGTCTTGCAACATATCCAATCTATTTCACCTCCATGGCATAGGTTGCTCACACATGATGTATTTGTGGACTAATCACCTGTGTATCTCACATTTAAACACATATTAGTCCATCTAAGGTTGTCACTCAATTACCAAAACCAAACAAGGACGTTTCACCGGTCCGAACACTGTCTTGTTTAGATTTGGGTTGTATTTTTTAAAGGGATTTGGGTTGTATTTGACATGATTTACAAGGGATTTTGGCCTCCCATGGGATAAGTTTTCCCCACCCTATATATAAAGGGTTATGGGTGATTGAGCATAATACAATCACATAAAACACAAATCAATCTACTTTTTACCTATCTTTTTCAAAATCTCTTCCAACCTCATGATGCTTCTCCTCTCTTGGTCCTATGACCAAGGGTGGCACCCTAGACTATCGACTGACCTCGGGCAATCTATCGATGACTGCTTTGCTAATTTGTCCAAAAACTATCCATTCTTCGTCACCTAAGCGAGATAGCTATCCTTTACTAGTAGTTTGTTTGTAAACCTTGTTGTTCTCCACCGCGAAAGCATGTTGGTTATCCGTTGGGTTCTATGATCCATTTGCGACCCTTGTGTTCCAGCGTTCTGAGTTTGGGACCGACATTCGCATGCATCAAACGTTGCTGCTAATGGTTCGAATATTGAGTACTTATTACTATATTTAAAAAGTACACAAAATAATGTATTTACGAAAAGCTACGGCAGTGCTGTGATCCTGTAATACGATGACTGCGTGACTGCACCGTGGAACATGTGAGGAAAGGTTAAGAACCAACTGACGTACAAACGTCACCAGCACGCTGATTTCTCCTTTCTTTCCACTACAAATGGAGAAGCAACAGATTTGTTCTTTGCTTCAAGGTAGCCGATTAAAGCGACCAACCGCCTGTTTATTCCTCGCTTCCACCTCTGTGCCAAACACCTCGTTGAACCGTGGTGGCTCTAAGCTTCTGTCCCTTTCTGATTTTCGAGCTGACAATATTGAAATGACACTGATACTCGCGTTTGTCGCTTCTGGTTTTCTATCGCTTCTGGTTTTCTAGGTCTGGACATTTAGTTAATTAGGTTAAATCGGTTCAATTATCAAGAATTTTAGTTTTGGCAAAATGTTAACCGAATTTATGGTAAAAGAACTAATAACCAACCAAAATTGGTTTCAGTTCACTTAACCATTTTATTGTAATACATATTATACTTCCATGGGACATAATGCAACAACATAATTGTATTGAAAAGCCTAACAAAGATGCATCTTGTAATAAAACAAAAGGAAAAACAACAAAGGAAGCTTCCTATTTCGTAATAATGGGATAAAAACGTACCCAATTGCTGGAGCTAAATACTACTTACTTCCTGTTGCTTTGATTCTTCAATAGTAGAAATTCGTCACAAATAGTAGAAATTTGATTCTTCGGTACATGAGAAGCATGCATGGGATTGTCCGATTCCTTTCTTCTGCGTGTAGATATATGTATGCATCCATTCTTTGTTTTGTCGTCTTTAATAAAGATGTAACATTGGTGTGGAAAAGTTGTGCTTGCTTCCAGAGATTGCAATGGAGACGATGCTCACAATGCAAGGGCGTTAACAGAAAGAAACAGACCCAGTATATATATATGGCATGGGGCATGTATAGTTCACCTGTCTTGGCACATGCATGTGTGCTCGACCAAACTAAACACGTACCCCAAATTAAAAATGTCTTGTCCGATCAATGTCGAGGAAGCACAGGGAAGTCGAGCCATCAGCGTGGCCGACTCTGCTCCAGGCGATGCGACCCTGGCGGTCACTGAGATCAATGTGACGGGGAAGCGCGGCATCCCGGTGTTTGTGGCGCCACTGCACAGCCAGAGAGAAAGTGATGGCCGAGGCCGCCGCGCCACTGCGGAGGAGATGATGGGCATGGGGTTTCAAGGCTTCCTCCTCCTGGAGGCGAGGGACGATGACGATCTGGTTGCGCAGCGCAAGAAGTGGTTCAAGGAGATGCGCGGGTGGCTGATGGTGCTGGCCACCGTCGCAGCATCCGTGACCTACCAGGCCGGCCTGAACCCGCCCGGCGGGTTCTGGCAGGACGACAAAGAGCACCAGATCGCTGGCAACCCGGTGCTCCGGGACAAGCACTGGTCAAGGTACATGATCTTCTACTACTCGAACGCCACGGCGTTCGTGACGTCGCTCGTGATCATGGTGCTGCTGATGAGCGAGCGGTTCTACCACACGGAGGCCAAGGTGGTGGCGCTCATGCTCACCACCTTCATCGACCTCATCAGCCTCATCGGCGCCTACATCGCCGGCACCACGCGCTTCTTCTCCTCCTGCATCTACATCATCGTCATCGCCTGCGTTGCCTTTGCCGGGGTCATCTACATCGGAGAGTACGTTTGGTGTGGTGTGATGCAATATATATGTGCTTGTGCGTGGCTCCTAATCGAATGCAATGCAATGCAGCTTCATGCTCTCTTTTTTTTCAGGGTAATGGAAGAAATATGCAAATTCTTCATGAGAAAGATGCCTTGCATGCTCCGACTGCTGCAGAGCAGGTGGTTCCCGGTGCCGGCTGAGGTGGTGAGGAGTCTGCCGCAGCCCGAGGAGCGCATTAGCCAGACGAGAACAATGGCGAGGAACAATCAACGCGGTGGCTCCTGCGCCTGCTGTGCGCCGCGCGCGGAGGGCTGAACGTGCTCGGGCACCACGTGGTGACCTTCTCGAGGGGCAGTCGGCAGTGAATTGGATCTGATTAAGCGTAGTGTAGCATACTAGTAGGAATTATTACAAAGAGGCTTTCAATAACCCCTGTTTTCCAGTACTTTTAAGTCCACATTATTTTCCCAACCAATTGTAGACATAATAAAATTCTTGATTGATACCTGTTGATATTAATAAAGGCTTCCTATGCTACATCATGTTTGTTTTTTTATACTTCTATGAATATGTATGATCTATCTCAACAATGAGTTGAGGAGGATTGAGCTTTCTGGGTCCAGTTGGTTTAGCACCTGGACTGGATTCCTCAGGTCCTTTCTTTAAAAATAAAAGTTTAATTTTTAACCATTGAACTATAGTTGAAGTTCAGTTAGTTTTGGCCACCAAAAAAACTCAGAAACTAGATATCTTTGATCATGAAACTTTGGAAATAAACTGGACAAATAATTTAGCCTTTTAGCTGGTTTCGAAGGTGGTTTTGCTGCTATACGTATTTTCTGAAGTACTCAATTTAACTTAATATCTCAAAATTCATAACCACTTTATTTTTAAATAAAAAACAAAACCAATACCAAAATTGAATTATCATAAAAACATAATCTATCTATCTACTGATGCTGAATTTAGATTTATTTGGATCTTATTTGTTCTTTTGCTAGTGTTTTAATTTATTTCTCGTAAGTATGACGGTTACTTACTTAAATTATTGATATGTGCTTTACTTTATTTTGTTGTATGTTTAGTTTATTGCAGGATGTTGCAGCCCCTAACTTGTCAAGTGATCACAATAAAGTGTTATCCATTCTATGATGAAATTATATGGTGGAGCAACCCACCTATGAGCATGGTGCCGCCTTCGTGATCGTCTATGTACTTGGAATATATATCCTTATGGTCGATCATTTAATCTAATATAGCATAAAACGACAAGTTAACTGCATAACGGGTGCAATTACAAGCAATAAAACACTATAAAAAGAACAAAAAAGATCCAAACGACTATAACTCGGGAGCATAAAAAAGTATCTGTCTTTTTAGTTCAACAGCCAAAACCAGACTCCAAAGATATTCATGGTTAAAAAAAGATATGCTTCTTCCTAAAAAATACATGGGCGAATTCTTTTTTTTATCTACTTAGTAAACTCATGTGAACCGTTTGATTTTGATCCAACACACCTCATGCCTTCCTCTTCCCAGTCTGACTATGTTCTTCGCTCCCATGTTCATTAGCTTGCTTACAAGAATACAATGTTTTTATATGGCAAAGACCATTGAGTTCATTGAAAATAAAGGGGATCATTTTTTCGAATCAAGGTATAAACGCAAACATCCATGTACATGTATCCACACTCACCGTAAGCCTATGAACAACTTTGAAAGACTAATAGATGGATTTCAAGATTGACAAAGTCACCATAGGAGTCTTAGTGATGAATCAGAATCACTTTATGAGACCGTTTGGTTGGTGGACTGGATTCTGATCCACAAGAAAATATATTTTTTCTTTAAAAATCATCTAAATAAAAATATGCTTAAAAATCCAAACTTTTTTATAGGCAAGAACAACTCAAATACAACCCATTTGAGCTAGCTGCATAAAAAGAGTATAACTGAAAAATATAAGTGCTAGAATAGGAGGAAAAGAAACGGAAGTGATTCACATGCGAAACCAGTCTTTTGCTGATTCGATCGAGCATTGCAAAAACGAGAAACATTCTGGAGCGATTCTGCTTAAAATGTTTCTGTTGTCCAGCTGTCAGAACCGTTTCTTCCTTCCAAATGACCCCTAAATGTGAAAGAAATAATTTCTAGTTTTATTTGAGTCCATTTAAAGAGTTGGGGTCCCCTTATATTAACCACAAATAAGAACCCTTTTAGTCTTTTTACTTTGAACATGCATGCTACACTGTGAAGGCGCAATGCAAGGATATTGAGTTTTAATAAGTGCAACTCTGCTTTGCTCAATCATAGGCCTTCCAGAATCTGGTCTGAGTCTCATCCCCCTAGCTTAAGAAAAGGACACTAGCTAGAAGATGGGACTCAATTTCATCAGTTTTAATAACTGCAAAGAAGGTTATATGATTTTTCTCCATTTCCACATCGATCTGTATTGGTAATCGTCTTGTTGCTGGGCAGTCCCTGAATATATTTCTATGTTATATATAAGAGTTAGCAACAGAAAGCAGCATGTTCAATAATCTAGTACGCATATGATATGAGAAGGAATACAAACAACGAAGGTGATGAAGCAATGACGATACGATTACATTTCGTGAAGCAAGCTGCGAATTTGATCATCTTCCAGCGTTAAAAAAAAAAAGAACGCATCAGTGAAGAGTTTGACTCACGGCGCTTGACTCACACTACGAAATATGCATGCATGCGAATGCCAGGTAGACAGTAGTCCTTACATAAAAGGAACGAACAGGATTAGACCTCGATCGGTGTAAGAATAATCTTGTCAGCGGTCCCTGGCCTGTCTAAAATGCGACAACATGTGTATACAACTGGAGCATATTCCTTCCTGCCATGATCGGAGACCTCGATGACACGAAAAAGATTTGTTGCAAAGCTAAAGACACCACCTGGTACTTTTCTTCTTTGGTACGTTATGCGCGCAGACGTGCTCCCATAAAACGTATCCAAATTTAGTTAGGCGCGCACCTAGCTAGAAGCTTTTGAAGAACGTCTCGTCGTCACGTAGCTTTCCATCATTCATGGCTCCAAATCAGATGCCACCGGAGACGGGACACGCTCCAGCGGAGGAGGAGCTGCCGCGGCCCAAGGGCATCCTGGAACGGATGCACAAGTACCTCCTCCTGCTTGCCATCCTCGCCGCCACGGTCACCTACAACGCTGGCCTCAGCCCACCCGGCGGCGTCTGGGCTGACGACGCCGATGGCCACCTCGCCGGCGACCCCGTGCTCCAGGTACGTACGTACCCATTGCATGCATGCATTGGTTATGTATTTATTAACTGAACGTGTAACACACTCTACCATGGTTATCTCCTCACTGCCAGGCTCACTACGCCGCGCGGTACAACGTTTTCTTCTACTGCAACGCGACGGCGTTCGTGGCGTCGCTGGTGATCATCATGCTGCTGCTGAGCAGCACCTTCAGCTTCCACGGGTACCGCGTCCGCGCGCTGCAGGCGGCCATGGTGCTGGACCTGCTGGGCCTCATGGGCGCCTTCACGGCGGGGAGCTGCCGGAAGGTCAGGACGTCAGCGTACATCGTGGCGCTCGCCTGCGCCTGCGTCGCCTACCTCGTCGTGCACCTGCTGCTGCACTTCTGGGTCCGGAGCAGCCGCTGCCCGTCCACCCGCCGGGAGGTCTCCGAGCTGCTCAATCTGCACCGCCTCTGCCTCTGTTGCTGTTGCTGTGGCCGGAGTGACGACGGCGCTGCCGCCACGCAAGATGCTCCCAGAGGGCCACGCGCACGCGTGTGATTATCAAGGTTGTTAGTCGCGGTGTTTGTATGCATGGTGTTCGAGTGAAATATGCCTCATGACAAGAAGTCTGGTCCATGAGGAGTCAATCCGATCGTTGATGCTTTGACTGTCAAGAGTCAAATATACTCCGGCTGTATATAGGAGTTTTATATAGAAACTGAAAACTCCGACTCATGCATAGTGCTATGTATGAGAATACACATACATTTAATTTTTTTTACCATGGATAAATGAAAATAATAAAAAAATGTCAGGTTTGGCCAGTCATGCCCAATCAAAAGGTCCGGTGTGCAAGTAAACTCATAAAAACAGGTTGAATTAGAGGCTTTTTTATGTAAACCACTAGAAAACAAAGCTAAGACAATGCAAGTGGGAATTGGAATCAGGTTTTCTGAATTCCGTTGTTTGGATGCATGGAATTGAGATATGGAATAACAATTCCAATACCTTGGTATTAGACTATAACTAAACTGAGCTCTCCAAATAGAGAGCCTCACCCCCTCTGTATTGGATGAAATTGGGAGTCCCCTTGAAAGCCCTAGTTTAGTTTTCGCTAATTGATGAAACATGTTGGACTAACCCTATACTATAAGTGTAAAATTGAGATAGGTTGGTCCAAGTCCAAGAGATGGAGCTAGATGGCACTTAAGTGATGGAGGTGGCCAAAAGATGATGATCTTGTGCTCTAACTTGGAAAAGAAGAAAAAGAAAAACAAAATGGGTTCAAGGCAAAGGTATAAATCATAGGGCCATTTTGTTATGCCGGTCAGGACACTATAGAGAGTGTGACCTGGTTTATGATAGATAGTCGTACTATGAAGAGAAAAAAATCATGATAAAAATGGTTATCAAGTACCACTAGGTGAAATAATTCATGCATATGTATTAGGACCTAGTGAGTGCTAACTTGAACCTTGAAAATGTTTTGGTAAAATGCTAACACACATGCACAACTGTTGTGACACTTTGGTATTGGCATATGGAAGCAAGGGTGAAAGAATAGAGCAAAGGGAGAAGGTGTAGGGGCGTCGGACCCTGGTTGGCAGGGCGTCGGCCCATGCGTTGCCGGTCCAACGGCTTACCCTACACTCACATAGAAAATGGCGCGAAAGTCAGACTCGGCTCGGCAAGGGCATCGGCCCTTCGGCCGCCGGTCCGACGGATGACCAGAAAAACGGGAGCAGAGACAGAGAGCAGCCGAAATGTGTCGTTCCGACACTGTGTACGTCCGACGAGATTTTCACAGTTCTAGACCTCTCCACGTAGATTTTACACCCCGTTGGACCGACACTGTTCACGTCAGAGTCTGAGTCTAACAGTGGGTCCAGCGGTCACGACAGAGAGCCGTTGCGTGCGGCAATAGTCAAATTTGAAGGGAAGGACACGCGGCGCACGAGCGTTCATCGCAGCAGGGCATCGGACCCAAGTGTCTTGGTCCGACGGTCTCGAAAGCGCGAGTCCGGTGGCCGGTTTCGGGGCCAACGACTAGTGGAGCCTTGGGGGTCCTATTTAAGGCCTTTGGTCGGCCTTTGCTCACTCTCTTAGAAATTTTTACATGTGATACATCCCTCTTGAGCTAAGCAACCCTCTCACACTCATCTCCTTGCTTGATTGTGTATCTAAACTGAGATTGAGTGGTTCCAAGTGCATTTGCTTGAGTGATTGCATCAAGTGGCACTTGGGGATCTTTTTGCTGAGGTTCTCTTGTTACTCTTGGTGGTTGCCGCCACCTAGACACCTTGGAGCAGCAGAGGAGTGTTGGCACGAGTTGGTGATTGTTCGTGGCCACATCCGGGATTCTTGTGAGGGGTTCTTGTGCCTATTCTCCGACGGAGCGCCAAAGGCAACTCTAGTAAATTTCTCGTGACTTGTGTACCCTCATTTGTGTTGGTTCTTACGGCGCCCAAGTGTTGGGCTAGGCGTGGTGCCTATTAGCGCGTTAACCACCAGTGAGTGCGTCGTCACAACATGGATTAAGTTGACAAGCAACCGAACCATGGGATAAAAATCGTGTCTCATTGTCTATTTGATTTCTCATTGGATTTCACTATTGGACACTCGCCCGGTTTGGTATTGCATTCCTATCACTTGTATTTACATTTCTAGCTTTCATCTTGTCATAGTAGTTGCTTGCCTTGCTTAGCTTGTGTAGCTAGTAGAGTAGAGTAGTGATTAGTTGTAGCTAGTTTTATCTAGTTATTCTTGCTAGCTAGCTCACTAGTTAATTTAGTAGCAACTTAGCTCTCTTGTGTGATTTAAAGATCATAGCAAACTAGAAATTGGTAGGTGGCTTGCCTTTTTAAGTAAAGCTAGAACAAAACGCATCATCACCATTTAGTTGACTAACACCTTGCTCTCTAGTGTTTTGTAGAAAATTTTATTAGGCTATTCACCCCCTCTAACCATTTAGGACCTTTCACCCCTGACCCTGGCACCTCCCTCGCCGGCCTTCCCCCGACGCCGCCCCCGATCAGCTTGTCACATGACCCCACCTATGCCGTCTCCTAGCTAGGATGACTCCTCTTCGCTCGCTCCGTCTTCCCTAACTATGGTCGACCACCTCCTTCTTCCAGCTCTGACAGGCTCCAGCCTACAACCTCCTTCCTCCGACCACCTCCTCTTCTCTAGCTCTGATAGACTCCGACCGACCACCTCCTTCTACAGTAGCTTTGGCAAGCTCCTTCTTTCCCAACTCTAGAGGTGCGGTTGCTATCGTTGACCGGAAGAGCCAGGAGAAGATGTGTCAATTCTATGTACATCCAAATAATAGATTTGGTAGTGTAAGATATTTCAAATATAAGCCTGCTTTGGTATTGGTATTCAATGCAATTCCAGCACATTCAATATCTACATCTAAACGGACCTTAGTAGATTTGAATGGTATATTGAACTGACAGTACAACGCCCAATTTAGTTCTAATATCTGTATTGTCAGTGGAGAGGTGAATATGTAGGATTTGATCTTTTTTATTATTACTTTTAGATAATAAAAAGTTCCGGTTAATCTTGACTTTTTTTATTAACGTTTAGGTTATGGGAAAAGTTAAGGCTTTGTAGGTCCGTTTATCTTATTTATTTATGAATCACGGAAAACACATACGCTCACAAATACGTACTCATGTCAGCCAAGACGTGATATTATCTTATTTAAAAGGCACATATTACATCATAATAAGGAGCGCAAATGCACAAATGCATCATATTATCTTATGATATTATCTTATTTAAAAGGCACATATTACATCATAATATAGAAGCGCAAATGCACAAATGCATCATATTATCCTATTTACCTGATTTAACGTGGTGGTGCATTCAATTTAATCAAATATTTATATAGTAAATCTGTTTGATAACAAGGAATGTAAATACAGGAGTAAGGTAGTGGTGTTTATACCAACATGTAGAGGAATGAGCCAATCATAAGATGGAGCCAATCAATCACAATGAATGCCAAGAAAACCTCGGGAGAATGATGACACATGATTTTTTACCGAGGTTTACTTGCTTGCCAGCAAGCTAGTCCTCGTTGTGGCGATTCACTCACTTGGAGATTCACACGCTAATTGGCATCACACGCCAAACCCGCAACCGGGTACCGCACAACCAACATAAGATGAGGATCACACAAGCCACGAGCAATATACTAGAGTACCTTTTGGCTCTTCGCCGAGGAAAGGTTAAGAACCCCTCATAATCACCACGATCGGAGCCAGAGACAAGCACCTTCCTCCGGTCGACGATCCTCGCCGCTCCAAGCTGCCTAGGTGGCGGCAACCACCAAGAGTAACAAGCAAATCTCGCAGCAAAATACGAATACCTAGATGCAATCACTCAAGCAATGCACTTGGATTCACTCCCAATCTCACAAAGATGATGAATTAATGATGGAGATGAGTGGGAGGGCTTTGGCTAAGCTCACAAGGTTGCTATGTCAATGCAAATGGCCAAGCGAGTGAGCTTGAGCCGATCATAGGGCTTAAATAGAAGCCCCCACAAAATAGAGTCATTGGGCTCTCACTGCACACTTCTCGGGACGACCAGACGCGCCGGTCAGAGGTGACCGGACGCACGCCTCCAGCGTCCGGTCGCCCGATGAGCGCCGCGTGGCCTTGCTTTCAACAGGCCTGGCTCTGAGCCTAGGTGGCCGGAGTGACGGCCAAGGGCCCAAGCCATCGGGGGGCCCAAAAAATTTCATGTATATGTATATAAGTATATGTTATATATGTATATTATATTGTATATACTTTGTTCAGCAGCAGGAAGGCCCAGACCTACAAGCCCATGCGGTGGCTCCTTGCAGAGAGCGGCGCGGCGACTTGTCGACACTCTCCCCGAATTGCCACATACAGGTAACACCTCACTACTTGTACGTTTGACCATGATCTGAATTTTGAATTTTTGATCTATCTATTTCGAATTTCTCATCTACTTATATACCATTTGTAACCATGTTAGTTGTGTTTCTCTAAAATTCTATCCTGTTATTTACTTTCTGTCGCAATTTTAGGTCTAAGCACTATGTGTTGTACTGAGAACGATGTCTTGGATAACATTGATCTCAATGATTTTGCATCCAGAAATGCCAGAAGATATTTTTTTTCCAACAAGCCTTGAAGAATTATTTACTTATTTGAGGTAATCATAATAGTCATTTTATTTTTCTTTTAGTTTCTTCTATTGTATAAACATTGTGTTTTATGAACTATATGTACATGCCCCTATCTACCTCATACTAGTACTAGTGTATGACTTCTCATGATCATAGAAGTGGGGAAAAAATTAGCATAAAGGGCCCTTGCTTTCGTATTGCCCAAGGGCCATAAAATCTATAGAGCTGGCCCTGGCCTTCAAACGTGAGCCGCATATTCTTCAACGGTCAACTCACACACGCTATGGCTTAAGTCACGATCGGACGCATGGTGCGCCGATTGAACGCACCAACCTGGCGTCAGGTCACGCTCGCGCGCGAGCACCTGACCAGATGCACCGCTGGA